TGCAAACATCGTTAATCGCTGCTGCACACACACACGTCTGCATACATTATTACATATGGGTGCATATCCTTACTTACGAAAACCTGCATATTTCGTGGCCCACTCGGTGTCTTGGGTCAGTATAAGTATTTTCTTCTTAAGTCTGAGTCTCTCTCACACACAAATACATCAGTCAAAATGGTCCAGCTCAACTCAACACTTTGCGTCATTTTCGAATCCAAACACGACCGTCCATGATCGATTAAGTGAATAACTCAATCTATCGATGTGTTACAAGCTGGTTAGCGTCAGCTGATAATTCACTTTCGCCAGTAATCGATCTTATGCCACATCCTCCAAAAACAGTATACACACACGCGTCGCTCATCGGTTTATAAGGACAACTTTTGCAATCATCCGTTTACAGGTCAAAATGGAGCGCTCGTTGTGCACATTGCAATCATCATGTCCCCAATGTGATTGACAAGCCTCTGTCCACTGCCTCTGGGCAGTGTGAATACTGTCCACGGTGTTTGTGTGACCTAAGATACTGTCTCACAGTTTTTACTTCCATCTCGAACGTGAACTTGTTTTGGTCCCTATAACACGCGTATATTTCTGATCTTTTCTACGGGCAGTTTAATTAACAAAAAGCAAGACGTAGTCTGCCCCACGAACTAGCCAATTCGGTGACGCACGCTTTTTTCTTAATAAATTGTGGTGTTTTGCTTTATGATACCGTTCCGATTCGCTGATGTGATTTATATGTATCGTACTTGTTGCATTATTGATATATTATATTTCATACTGGTCTGGATCAAGTTTGTGTGCCAAATATATCACGCTTCAACCATCAGTATAATGAAAGAATCACTTGATGTTTTGCTCAAGCATGGAACGAGTATTGTCAAAACCAAAGTCTGTTATTTATTTGGGTAACCATAACCGAGGTTTTCGGCTGTCCAAAGCAGAAAGGACAAGTGCGTTGTGTGAATACTGCAGCCTATAGCAGACTAGTGTTCAGTTAGTCGGCTCGAGCGTCCTTCCAGTGTATTTCACATGTTCATGGCGCTCAATTCATCCTCTTACCCAATGGAGTCGGTGACTATTGTAACCAGAAGGTCGTCTAACTCGTTCGTAAGCAACCTCCCCTTAGAGGTTGTAAATCAGAGTTATGCAGCACTTCTAAACATGCTAGCCGCCCTTAGCTGGCTTTCCAACCTGACACTTTGTTGAAGACACCCTCGCTAGGAAAAGGCAGTCAATTAGTACTTCCCTCAAGAGCTGCTTTAAGCGAGACATTCCACCAGAACCTTTCTTTGTTACGATAATGTGATCTCGCCTATCTTAGGAGGAACTTGAGCTTCTTTGTAGTCACTGTTCTATGTTGTTCCACGTAGGTACCAACTGTTTTTCCTCTGTTGCATAGTTTATCATAATGAACACCGATCGAGAAGAACCGTGGTTTGTGATGTGTCGAAACTCGGCTATATGAACCTAAAAACTCGCAGTTGAGAAAACCGCACAAGACCCGTTGGTGTAAACGTTCTATCGAAAACGAAACCATCTCATTTTTGGTGCAACTTGTTGGCTTCATCCGGTGTGTATGTGTGCGGCACTTTGCACATTTATATGTCCAAAGAAACCTCGTGTTGAACCAAGTACTTCACAAATTGCTCGTAAATTTAATGGCACTGA